GACGTTTCGCCAAAATCCCACTTGTCATCTTCAATGCTCGCGCTCCGAAAACACTTCGAACACTTCGGAGCACGAGCATTGAAGATGCCAAGTGGGATTTTGGCGAAACGTCTGCAGGATTCCAGTCGGATGCAGGATTTGCAGGATTCCAGTCGGATGCAGGATTCCAGTCGGAGTTCAACGAGCGAACGGATGATATCCCGGAATATAGTGTCATCATATTTTTCCATCCGTGAATCAATACGTGAGAATATATATATATATATATATATATATATATATATATATATATATATATATATATATATATATATATATATATATATATATATATATAAGAAACTATGAAACCTGCCCAAATATTGAGAGAAAACCTATGATGAAAGTTGGTTCTTCGAATAAATATCGGATTTTTAAAATGAATATCTTTTAATTCTCTGTTCGAAAAACGCTGATTTTGTAAGATAAAAGCCAACCCACGAAAAAGGTGATTGCAGTTTTTGTTACCTGTACCCCACAAAAGTTGCTCCTCTTAACATAAATTTGATATTTATGATTTTAGAATTAGGTTCAGTATGCCAAAATTACTAAATGCTAAAATTTCAAATCTTGCCCCTAACCCGTTCCCGAAATATCAATAAAATTCCGTATTTAGGTCCATTTGTTTTAAAGGCTGTGACTTCGTGGGGGGCGTTTATCTCCATATGTTTATAAAGAAAACGAAGGCTTATTATTTATGTTATGTTAGAATGTTGTTATAGTTTGACTCGCTCGGGGCACCATATATAGGTATAACATCGTGTAAATATAAGATCATCTAATCAAATTTAATCACTCGAAAGGCCCGTTAAGTGTAGATAAAATATTTTTCCTTAACGAAAAACGTTGTAACGACAGTTTTAGCGTTAAATGATTTCGAATGATATGGTTCCCCTAGTCGTTTGGGTACTGCTTTTCTCATTTAAGGGCACTGATGCTGAGATCGATATATGCCTTCCTTTTAATTCAATATCTGAATCTGACAGGAGCATATTTTTAAAAAATTTTTCTTCTCAAGTGCCGAAACTTATCGAAGAAATTCAACTAAAAGCTGGATGGTCAGTCTGCGACGAAAAAAGCGGCGGAATATGTACAACCGTCGACTATTTTGATATTAATTTCTCCCATCCTGCGTTGACGCAAGTATCTCCACAGATATTAGCCAGTAATTATGACATTCTAATACATTGATTTTCCGTGTGGCATATATATACGACCGGGTGTCCAATTTTCGATGGTTTTACGGGGTATCTCGCTTATTAGTAAAGATGCGGTGGTTTTCGTGACACAATTTTTTCGAGAAACAAAATATGCCGGAAACAAGATTTTTATAACCTCTTTTGATTTTTCAGATACATGATGTTTTTGGAAGCTTTGCATTTTGGGACACCCTTGGTATCTCAGTTATTATGTATCTTATTAGAAAAGTTAAAAGTGGGTTTGTCGCCGATTTTTAAGCAGAGTTCAGCGGCATTTTTTTTTAACGATAACGATTGATGAAGAGCATCTCAAAAATATAAAAAACTCCATCGTTGTTTTTAATATTAAGTCTTATATTTAAGTTGGATGATTTTGTAAACGCCGACCGCCGACAAAGAAAACAAGGAGATTGATGAAATTAATGTATTGGCTTCAATCCGAATAAATCCAAGTAGTTATTGCTGGAAGATAAGAGATTCTGTCGGAATTATTAAATCACCTGGTGATACACAGCGCCAAATAGAGTTTTATAATTGGAATTTACCTACATAAAGTATATCCTGAAAATAATTTTGAAACAGTAACATTTCCACGAGGACAAGGACTTATTATTTTAAATGCAATAAGATTCATAAGAACCATGTTTGAAACATATTTAAGACATAATGGAGATCAATATAAGCACACGCTAGAAGCAAGGAGTGTGCACAATGTGTACAAAAATGTTTGTAGAATATCAGAAAGTAGAAATTGTTGAAGCAGTCTTTGCCGACGATGTTGTGCTAATGGCAACAAGTGAAAATAGTCTATATATGACATGACTAGTACACCTGGGGGAGAAATGAAACTTTTGTGCGTAATTTGTAATTTATTTTGCTATTTTTAAACCTGTTAGTTTTTTTTTTTTCAACTTAAACAATTTAGCGACATATGCAGGCCACGCCATCTCACTCCCCACCACTAGAGTGTTCTCGAGCACAGCACCGGCTACCTGCTCAGTCCGTGCTATGCCGTCAAGATACAAATACATTGACAAGTCAGACAGCGAGATTTTACTAGTTAGTTGGTAAAATCATTAATCATCGATATATCGATCAAGGTAAGCCGCAATTTGAAAATTTTGTTAAAGTATTTTACAACTATTATTTTCTATTTCCCTTCAGATGGCAGCAAATAGAAAAATAACATACCAAGACGAATTCCTTAATTACGGTTTTACACAAACAGAAGACAATGTTACAATGAAACCACAGTGTGGTGAATGTATGGAGGTACTGACTTCAGAATCTTTCAAAAAAAAGTCAATTAAAACATTTAGATAATTTGCATTTACACCTGTCTTCCAAACCGCGAGAATACTTTGCAAATTTAGAAATATCTGTTAAAATTCAAAGATTGAATAGCAACTTGTTTGGTACATTTGAACAGCGTTCAGTATCAAGGGCTAGCTTTGAAGTAGCCTGCCTGATCGATTGCTCGAAATAAGAAACCATACACTATTGGTGAAGATTTGGTTAAACCAGCTGCTGTAAAAATGGTAGAGATTATGTGTGGTCAAAAAGAAGCGAGAAACTGAATTCAGTGCCCTTGTCTGCGAGAATTGTTTAATTGTTTTTCGGCTTTCGTAAAAAAATAACCCAAATATTGAAGTAACTCCACTTTATGATCCATCGTTAGGCCCTTACGGTCAAATATTTAGAACCTATACTAGAAGCCGTCATGCATGATGTCATGAAGATTGTAAATTTTATCAAGATACATGCACTAAACACGCGGCTATTTCGTGAATTATGTCAGGACAGTGAAGCTGAATATACGGACCTACTTTATTATTCAGAAGTATGAAACTAACTAACCAAAATAAGGTTGATCAAAAAAATATTCTCGCAGATGAGTTTAAAAACTTTTCCAGGGTGGCATATCTCGCATATTTAGTGGAGATTTTTGAGAGTATAAATATATTAAAGAAAAAATTGCAAGGAAAGAATATTAATATCAGCGTTTGGATTAAAGCTGCAATATTGGAGACAGAAAGTAGAACAGAACAAGATAGCTTTTTTTTTTCAAAATTGCACATGAAGAGGCGGTTAAAAAATTGTTGCCTTTTGGAACAACATATTTGTGCGAACAAGGCTTTTCAACTCTAATGAACATAAAAACGAAGAACAGAAATCGATTAAATGCCGAAGACTGTATTCAAATCGCTCTTACATCAAAAAGTCCCGATTATGAAGCAATTGTATCGAACATGAAACAACATTATTTCCCCAAGGAAGAATGTTTTCAATTATTCTTTTTTTTTCTAAATTGTTTCAATTCTAACTTTTGTTTATTCCACCGTTATTATTATTATTATTATTATTATTATTATTATTATTTGTTACAGTATCCCAAATTGTCAACCCTCAATTGTACTTCAATGGGTTTCAATTTCTGATATACAGTTGAGGAAAAATATTCGCCCCCACAGAAAATATAAGTAAATGATAATTTATTGTTATTTTGTAATTCCTATGATATTCTTGTATTATTAGACGAAAAAGCTAGTTTAAATTTAAATGATTTTTTTCGGTATTTTTTTTTGGATAATGATTAAAAAAGTTCCCCTGGTATAGACATATTGCAAGTAGAAAAATTTACGTACCTAGAAGTACAAATGGAAAATACGGAAAGTCAAGAAATTGAGATTAATGAAAGAATAGATAAAACAATAAGTTTATTGTATGCAATGGATCAAAAATTTATGTATTAGCAAGTAAGAAATATGACAAACAAAAATTGAAGTCTCTAAGACCATATATGGACCAGTGTTAATACCTGGGTGTGACTCATGGGTACTGTCAAAAAGACAAAAAATTAAAACGCAGGCAACTGAAATGAAGGACCTGAGGAGAGTGAAAGGTGTAACAAGAAGAGACAGAATCAGAAATAAAAAGCAAAATGCAAAGCTTCCAAAAACATCCCGTACCTCGTACCTACAGCGACATAAACCATCGAAAAATGGATCCTGTTCTGCGTGTCCCACTAAAAATGGCTGTATTTCGGGAATTATTAGCCGTATGGATTGCGGAAAAATTATCACCAAAGAGACCAGAGAAAAGTGGTGTGGGAAAGTTATATCTGTTTGTATTTAAATGTCTATGTCTCCGGCCTGGATAATCGCAATCAAACGAGCTGGGCCTCGTTTAAAAGAGCGTTCCTTACTCTATATTCTACCGCATTAAAAATAATAATATGCATTTGACAGTAGACGCTGGGGCGAAGTATGAAAAATAATGAATATAATAACAATATGAGAAAAATGTTGTACAACGCAAAATTCATCCAAAATTTTAGAATGCCGGGAATTGTTTGGCGGATAGATAAGTAGTACCAAAGTGCCACAAGCCAACGGCGCAATCAGGATGCGTTATTTTTTTTTTTTAATTTCAGTTTATTCGGCAACTTCAAGAAAATGTCACTGCAGGTGTCCGACACTTCACTAAAATATTTTCATACATTTGGATCGGACTTCCAGCTGGTCAACATAACGTTCGGCAACATTGCGATAAACGGTACCTACAATTGGTCGGGATTCGTCGGGGCCAACGAGTTGTTCGATATTTACGGCAGCGGTCCTTTCTGGTAAGGGCTCTGAATATCACATGGTGTCTACCACTGCTTCTAACTCTGTAATCAAATTTTAAACGACGGGATCTTTCGTTCCTTGAATTTCTGTTTCTCTTGCGCTGTACCTACGTCTAAAATGTTCAAGAAGGGACCTATTGCACAACAGATTCTGCCAATAGTCAACTGCTGCTCCACGCCAGCAATACTGAAAATGGATCATTCTCGTTCTTTCCCCACATTTAATAGTTCGACGTGCGCATATGTCAAATCTTATATTTTCAATTAGAACACAAAAACAAAGAAACAGCAAGCTAGTTTATGTATATACAAACTATAAGTCCAAACTTTTTGGAATTGACGTATGTACTTTTAATATTTAAACATTTTGGCACAAATCATAATATTGCAGTTTGACGTTGTGGTGGCGTTGCATTTCACTACTATGGATAGATAGATGTTAGTAATAATACATACCGAGCTTTTACACGTCATAAAATATAAAGTTAAATGACAATAAAATATAAAACGAAGTTTTCTAAAAAAATTAAAAGTTTAAAAGTAGGACACATAATGTATTCTAGGAAAACTGACAAATCCCAAAGCAGGACAACTTAACAAAAAATTAAAAAGCGGTACAATTAGCACTATACACCCACTTAAACACGCAACATCGCCAAAGTCATTGCTTAAGTACTCAGAAATAGATAGTAATATAATATATAAAATATTTTTTTACAAATATGTGGATAATAAAATTGCGTACTTACCGATTCATTTTCATTTTCGACATTTGTTTGACTTTTTCGTAAAAGTTATTGATCCCTTGTTAAGTGTAATAAATTAAAATACTATACGCGGTTCATGAAGTCTTAATTTTTTTAACACCAGTTCTCTGGCTGCATCCCGATTAAACTCCCGTAACGTTGATCGTAATACTGTAAACTTGTGATTTAACATTAATTGGAGAGAGTTATAAATAATTAATGAACTATAAAACTGACCGGTCTTAGTCGTATCCCATAGGCGTGGTATTGTACATATGATGATTGTCAAGGGCCTCGAGAGTGACAGATGGTGGAAGGAAAGAAAATTCTTATTCTTAATGTGTTCAAAGCTCTTTGCCACCAAAACCTAGCCTTGGGAATTGCAAAAACAGGTGAAATATGTCGAATATGACAGTCAACAATATACCGATTTGCGCACGAGGATAAACGCGGTCCAATCAGGTCACCAAAAAGAAGCACATAAAGAAAACAAACTGTATTAAATGAGGGTGAAAAGGCTGACATTAAAAGAATAACACACTTGTTTTACACAAAAAAAGAAATAACTAGCTTGGACAAAATAATGTTTAAAATGAAAAAGGATGATTTCATCCCACCCATGGGCAAGAAATAACTAAAAACAAAAAATAAATACTTTTATTATTCTAAAAACTACCCGTGGTAACGCCGCTGTCGCATTACTTTTATTCACCAAACTCGTCTTTATATTATATGCAAATTAGCGTAATGCTAGTTTAGGAACAATTAGAGGTGTGTAGGTCTTAAAACCGGAGATGCGGAATTTTTTAAAACTGTTGGAATCTATTTAAACTTTGTGATATAACATTTCGCCATGTTTATTGATCCCTGTCTTTGCAAATTTACATTTTATTACTACTTCGCTATCATGCAAAAAATAATCTGCTGAATCCAAAAATGCAAAACTATATAGTGAATGTGAAATTTAAAATTCAAAAAGTACCGTCGTTTCCGCTTAAAAATTGCACGTTAGCCCTATATTAAATCACCTAAATTTTACCAGGCGTTCACGACAGAAGAAAGAACGTGAAAGCGAACATAATCATGAAACCGAACATCAAATAAATCTTATTCGATCAAACTGCATGTAAACAATTCTAATACCAAAAAAAATCCAAGAATCCATAGAAATCTCAAAACAATCAATCTTAACCGCGACTCAGAATTTTACCTTTCACCAATATGGGAATCAGCCATCCGACGCAATGTTCATGTCTTTTAGCTCCGCCTTTGTCAAACAGTATACAATCAACAAAGTAGTACAAAGTAGAATGCAAAACCACGTTCAATTAAGCTCTGAACAGAATGGCGCTAGGAGAAACATCAGTTAGTTCGATACATCAACAACCGACCAAAAGATTTGTAAATAGAATTACAGTAGTCTGTAGAAGTTTTCCTAACAAATCTTAAATAGAAGTTAATAATAACGGTTAAAGGGAAAACAAACATATTTGCACAATCTTTTAATGAAAATGTTGCGATACCATCGAGATCAGTGGTAAATTTTTATTCCCTGAAATATTTTAACAGCGTCATGGATGAATTTTTGATCCTTTGATGTTTTAATCTGTTTTACCAGCAATGTAATTGGCGAAGTTCCATCTCCTTGTGTTATTGTGCATCTAATCTGGAATGTTCTTTAGGGCGAATCCGGTCAACTTTTCAGTTGGTGTTAACATGGACCTCAATTTTACTAGTCCCGAACATTGTTTAGCAATCGAAATCAGGGTATACCTTCCCAAATTTAATGTAAGTATAACCACTTCCTAGATCGCCTTTGCTAAACTATCCTTTTTTGAAGAGTAATTTTTCTGAACTTATGAATGGAGATGATGAATTGTGTCCGTTACTAAATGGGGCTATATCAGATATCGGACCGGATGCGGTTCGTATCATCTGGGACGAATATGTGAATTCGATAGATGGACCTCTTCCGCAGGCGATAGATAAGATACTGGAGTGGGACCGTAAGACTTCACTTCTGACTACTCTTATAAACATACTGGAGGTAAATAAGGGACTCGGATTAGACGAAGAGTTAATTTTTACACCTCCAAATTAATTCGTGTAAATTAAATAAAGTATCAAGTGTTGTTAGGGATTATTTTTTATTTATTCTAGATGATATATAAACTATTATTCCGTCCAGTTCGGTTCAATTTCCGCAAACATTTTTTTTTGATTTGCAAACTGTAAATCCCGTAATAAAAAATAGATGATAGTTTTTTTTAGAAAACATCATGTTTCGTTAACACTATAACTTTTTAAAACTAACTAGCAAACAAAACAAAACAAAATCCTAATCATTAAGTCTAGGTAATTTATTAAGGAGAGTAAATTCTAGCTAATGTAATTATAAACCAATAGTTAGGTAAGTAGGTAAAAGAATATTAGATATGTATATGCAGTGTGTCCCAGATTCGCTTCTCTATATAGGGATCTCCGCTCCGGTTATACCAACAGCAAAGGTGAAATGGAAAACGACCGACTTCAAATTTCCGGCCGGTCAATTGGTTTGGGAAATATCCGCGAAAAAACGAAAATGGCAGATTTTGTTTTTCGTCAGTAAATCCAAAACGGTTAAATTGACAGCTGTCAAAATGTTATCCAGACGCCTTTTTAAGTCAGATGGCGCGTATGCATGTGTCAATCATCTTTTGCTATCTCGCAACCCGAACTAACTTTTATTTTTTTTATATTGGATTTTTAGATTTTTGGAACGAGTGTAAAGATGTCTCACAAATGCACAAACAATTTTATCACACTTCGTAAAGTTAGGTCCTAATTATTTTATAAGTAGGTCATGATTTATTTAAGATTAACATTAATAAGTAACACATTGAATTTTCAATAGAATATGAAAGTAAAGAACGATCCCTCAACAAGTCAACATGTTTTACCTAGTATGAGTTTTTTAAAAAGAACAAGTCAGAAAAGTCTTCTTTAACTTAATTAAAACTTGAACAACCTACCACCGTCGTCCGATATAGATTGAAAAAGAAAATCGTAACAGAAACAATTTACAAGTAGTGGAATGTAAAACTTAATTATTTTAGCATCCGATAATTTTCAGATTTGCAAAATGACGTCCATTTGCATTTTTGGCAATTGGTGACTCTTTGTCTTAGAATTTCTAAAATCTCGGCAGTATTAAATTCATAGACCTAAGTTTTTGTGTGATCATTTAATGAAATAATTCTTTCGTCAAATTGCAAAACTCATCTCTGGTTAGAGTGGATCGTAAAACCGCAAAAGAAGAAGAATGGCACTATAAGTCGATTTCGTGATAATTGACGGAAGGTACTCAATTAAAAAAAAGTAAGTTAAATTACCAATGATACCCCACCTAACCCTAAGACAAAGAGTCACCAATTGCCAAAAATGTATCAATGCATTTTGCAAATCTGCAAATTAGTAGGTAACCAAAACTAACATAATAAAAATTTACATTACACTACTATTTCATTTTGTATCGAACTTGTAGGTTGTTCAAGTGTTAATTAAAATAACGATGAGTTTTCTGACTCTTTCTTTTTTAAAAACACACAAGTATGTAATTTATCCAAAATATCTGACTTCTTGAGACGTCGTTCGTTACGTTCATGTTCTGTTGAAAATTCCATATATTTACTAGACATATAGAGACCCCGCCTATGTTGACCGTACAGGAACTCATGAAGCAACTATGTAAAAAAAAATTGAGAAGGTCCATTCAACGTGCGAATGCGCGAGATTGACAATTTCATTTTTTACGAATGGCAGTTCTAAGTACAAATTTTGACGTTGGACCTATAAAACTTACGGCGTTCAACAAGAAACATGGTCGCTGACACATCGTCAATGCGTGGATATGACATTTTTACGGCAGTATTTTTTCAGAATATGTCGAAATCTTATTAAATTTTTAGGCAAAAATGATTTAAGGCGTGGAAAAGCAGTGGAGAATTGCAGCACCCACGTCGGAATCAGTATAATTCTGTATTTAATTTGGCATTTTTGTTTTTTTTAGCCATGTAGATGCGCTGAATTTTTCTACATGTATTTTTTCATGTAAGTTTTTTTTTTCGATTTTTTTTTGCTTGTAAATTGGCGCAAAGTGTTAGTTTTCATACACTCATGGCGTTAATCTCTATTCAACATGTAAAGAAAGTCGAAATTGCGACAGACGGCTGTTAAAAGTCTAAATATAACTTTGGATGCTAGATATCTAAGTGGAAATAGTATATTATGCAACAAGTGCGGTAAACGGCATTTGACTGAGGAGTTTATTTGACACGAGCGAAGCGGCTGTTTAATAAACGAGTGAGTTAAAAAGTTTACCGAACGTGTTGCATACTATACTTTTTCTACGACCGTTAGTTTTTGGGTATATTTTCGCAAAACACGAATACATTCACTAACATGACTGTCAGAATTGACAAACGTCAAAATTCAACTCGTGGGAAATATCTCCGAAAACATCCGATTGCTCCCAAACCCGTGCGGTAAAATCCTGGAAATGTCCGAAGTGGCTCGGATTCGTGGGAAACGAAACTGAGGTAATAAAGCGACGCTTCCCGCGCGCTAGATCGGTGCGTAATTAGGAATTTTACAGACGGGAGTAGAAAAATATATTTAAGAAGCAACTCCGCGAAGCAAACGGAATGAAAGTGCCAATGGACAATTTGTTGTAGGTATTGGAAAACATAATCAAGAAAATTAAAGACTATTTAAAACAAGTTTGTTGTGGAGAATAAATAAATTAATATAATTAGTGTATTTTATTTAGCACTTCAAAGAGACATCTTCGTTTCTAGTACCACAAGTGAGTTAAACGGTATTTGACTCACGAGTTTATTTGACACGAGCGGAGCGAGTTTTTAATAAACGAGTGAGTTAAAAAGTTTACTGAACGTGTTGCATACTATTACGTTTTCTACGACTGGTAGTTTTTGGGAACATTTTTGTAAAACACGAAGAGATGGTAGCAAAAGATCGAATGTTCAAATGAGTCGTGACATATACGTGATCGAGTGACAGAATGTTTAGGTTAGAACCAGCGATTTTTATAGGGATATCAAGTTTGAAACTTATTTAAAATGATTTATCTTACTAAGTTAACATTTTATTACTTTTCTTAAACAGGAATTCAGTTAATTGTGGGTAGTACATAACTCCTTAACAAATAGTTTTTCACGTCGACTTTATATATTATTCATGCAGAAGGTGTAACGGAACGCGGTAAAATTGATTTAATATTTTATAGTAGCTGACAAAAAAGGCATTTTGCATGTTTAGTCCTGAAACGTCGTATTTTATAACACTGTTTAATTTATAGGATTAAGATGATTTTAGAAATTGTAACTTTGATGCAATGAATTGTTATCTGTCTTGTACATCTTGGGAGGCTGCACTTGACCCGCGGGATGTTAACAGTTGTGTTGATTATTTTTATAGTATTTTGTATGGTGCGATTGAGATGTTTATTCCTATTAAGCGATTTAAGTCTTCAAATTTCCATGCATGGTTTAATCGTGAACTCCAGAACTTAATTGTTATGAAAAAAACTGCGCATACAAAATACAAGCAAACTAACAACGCTGATGATTATTTTTATTTCTGTGGGTTAAGGGATCAGTGTAAGGCACTGCGTAGTGAGTGCTACAGTGCATATATAATGCGAATTAATCAGGATGTCACGTATGACCCAAAATCTTTTTGGAAACATGTAAATAGTTTGCGAAGGTCATGTGCATATCCCAGTAACATGTATTTGGGTGACGAGGTTGCCGACTGTGGTCAGGATATTGTTGGCTTGTTTGCACAGCACTTTGCTTCTACTTATGAAGTGTGGGGGTGTGATTCCTAATTATAGTTTTGACTATAGTTTAGACTTTAACTCCATGAGTGTTTCACTTACTGATGTGTTTGAGAGTATTATGAACTTACAGACTGGATTTTCGCATGGCCCGGACGGGATTCCATCAGTCTTGATTAAGAAATGTGTTTGTACTTTGAGTAGGCTACTACAGCATATTTTTAACCTGTCCTTGTCTCCAGGTATTTTTCCCGACTTTTGGAAGATTAGCTATTTGGTACCGATTCACAAGAGTGGTGATAAAAACGATATCGCTAATTATAGAGGCGTTTGCATACAGTCTGTGGTTCCAAAACTGCTTGATAGGCTATTTTGTGAGACTTTCGTGGCATTGCAGGGGAATTCTGGCAGATCAACAGCATGGATTTGTACAGGGTAGATCTACCGTAACAAATTTACTCACCTACCAACAATTTTTGAACGCCATTGAGGAGTTTGGTCCGGTGGATTGTGTTTACACGGATTTCTCGAAGGCGTTTGACCGGGTGGGTCATGTGCTTCTTGTCTCTAAGCTTAGAACTATGGGCCTGGGGGCTGGGTTGGTGCAATGGATTAATTGTTTTCTGTCTGGTCGTACTCAGTTGGTTCGTATTAATAATTATGTCTCAGGTAAAATTGATATTTTTTCGGCAATCCCCCAAAGTTCTCACACTGGACCCATCCTTTTTAACTTGTTTATAATTGATATTGTTAATGGAGTTTCGGAATCGCAGTGTCTTTTGTTTGCGAATGATTTGAAGATATTCAGGAGGGTTGGATCTCGCAAGGATGCTCTGCTGCTTCAGAGAGACGTTGATAGTGTTTGCATGTGGTCTAAGATTAATAGCCTCGCGTTCAATATCAAGAAATGCTGTAGTATTAGCTTCAGTCGTTCGTTGAGTATGGTTCACAACCAGTATAGCATTGATGGAATCGTAATCGATTTTAAACTAAATTTTTTGACACATTTTGCTGAAGTAGTAAACAGATCAATTCGAGTCCTTGGGTTTGTTGTATGCAATAATGGCCAACTTACTCCACATTGCTTTAAACTCCTTTACGTCTCTTTGGTTAGCTCTAGACTAGAGTATGCATCTGTGGTATGGTCTCCATATTATGCCTGCCATATAGATAACATCGAAGCCGTTCAGAAAGCATTTTTAAGATCTTTGGCCTCAAAGGCGCATATTAATATCTATAATGGGTACCAGATCAACTACAGTGTTATAGCTAAAGCTTTCAATATTGATACTCTTCAAGCCAGAATATTTCAGAGTGATTTAGTTTTTCTCTTTAAGATTCTGAATGGTTGGTATTAATGTCCAGCTCTTTTACATAGAATACAATTTAACGCATATTACAGAAGCTGTGATAACTCAATGTTCCGCATACCTTACCATCGCGCAAATTATGGAGTTTATTCACCCCTCACTAGAATGCTGGAAGCGTGCAACTGTTTAAAGCTTGATCCTTTTGTGGGCAGTCTCCGCTCATTTCATTCTGATGTGCTGCGTTCGAATGCTGCCAGTTAATTCTGTTTATTGTTACTGTTACATTTTGTTATAGTTTCTAGTTGTTATTCTGTTATACTGTTTATATTGTTATACTGTCTTTCTCTCTTTGCCTTAATATGAATGTAAAATTTTGTAAAATGGTTAAACCGTAAATATATAAAATAAAATAAAATAAAATAAATAAAAATATACGTATATTCCAGTTATTGCAAAAAGATGTCTTAGAAGCACAGAAACAAAATATCAAGCATCAGGAAAAGTTGTTGAAAAGTGTGTTCATCTTAAGAAAGGGACAACATTTGAAGGATCAAATACGAGACAGGACAGGAGTTGCAAGCATGTGTAACAAAGGAGACCAAAAGAATATAGGCAATAGACTTGGGACAAGGTAAAGAAGTTATTAGTAATAAAAATATTTGTAGAAATGTGTAGTACATTACACTGTATGACTGAAACTAATAAGTATTAATAAATTTCAATTATGTTAACATAATTTTAGGAATGCAGAAGGTGTCTTACTTCCTTCAACTCAGTATGTACCTCCTGCCGATTGCCTCCACCTCTACGCAGAGATAGAGGCAATCGAATGTACCTGTAGAACTGAAAGACGACTAGAGTTCTGGGAGCAAACAAGCGACCTACATATTAGTTTGGTTATACAGTTTGGCAGAAAAGCTTGGCATGAGTTATTTTGGTGTCAAGGTCCTGTATGAAAGGATATTAACCAATTTGTTGGACCCTTCATCAAATATGGGCATAAATTTTGATTTTTTTCTGGGATTAGCAAGTATTTTATATTTTTTCGTAAGGTAACCTCTACCTTTGTATAAGTTAATAGGAACCACCAATAAATATTAAATAACAATATGCATATATCAAAGTGGCAATTTTTGAAGTCTTACATAAATATATTTGACGTTTACTAAAAAAAATACTGGCAACTCCTAATAAGGTGTATAAAGGTAGAAGTTGCCTTTGTTGTAAAAATAAAAAAATATTAGTATAGGATTTTACCTGGACAAGGCACTGTGGATTGAATGTCAAATACAAGGAAATGTGGATTTTTGTATCACCATAAGTACTTTTTTATATGATTTTGATGTGGCTATAGGAAATGCCCCATCTTATTCTCACTCGCAACTGGCTAGAACAAATTGCACAGTGAGTTCAGTCAGCTCATAATCAGTTTTATTCCCATCATCAGCTGTAAACCCCACCTATTTTGCTAAAAAATAAATTTTGTTGTGGACATTGTCAGTCATAATTTTTTTTATAAAATTTGATTTGATAGACGTCAACTTTTACCTTAGCCGGTGGCTGTAATAAATAGGGGGCGATAATGACAACAAAATATTCAAAAGATACTCACGGGTTAATAAAAAGTATTCTTTTGAATGCGGGTTGCAGCACCCTTCAATAAAATTTTAACCTATATTTTTTTGGAAACAATAATTGACCGGATTCATAGCAATTCATGTATCCTGTGTGGATTTAGCAACCGATGTACGTTCTGCATCTTTAAATTAAGCAGCGTTTTCCTAATTCGCATTCGGATTATACCTATCTACTATTTACTGTCAAATATAGACAACTGTATTATATTGGTTGGTTACTGTCAAATTGCAAAGTCTGCCATTTGACCTTCTGCTACATCGAGATCCCTCGCGAGGCGAGACACACCGAGACTTTCCGAAACGGGACGGAACGTCGTTCAGGATTTTCGATCATTTGAACATTTTATCATTTGTGGTGTTCCCTTAGAGACCACCCCCCGCCCGAACCCGAATGCCGTTCGGGATATTCGATCATTTGCTACCATCTCGTTTGAACATTCCATCATTTGTGGTGTTCCCAAAATTTATACCCGAACAAGACACACGATCGGCCTGGGCTTGCCTCGTTCGCATTAGTGCTCATGTGAATATGCGCCTTTATGGGACTAAAAGTCAATATTCCTCGACTAATGTCAGCATAGGGCGGCTGACCTGAGTGAAGAAGCCTATTTTAAAAGCAAAGAAGAAGAACAATAAATATAAACTGTCAGTGGTTGGATTTTCGCCAATCAAAATTTCCCATTTCAAACGTCTAGTGCAACGGAAAACACGCCAATTGTTTGCCGCAGAAGAAACGTAAAAAAATTACGATTTTTCCCCACAGTGTTAAAAGTATAAATTTGGGTTCAATTGCAGAGCACAATGCTTTTCAAATTTTCGACATGCCACTCGCTTACATGAAGTTGATCATTTTATAGGCCGGAGGGTCATAATTTTTCTGCTTTGGAATTTAAAATATGTTTTTATAAGTCGAGAGTTCTGTTATATGTACTATGAGGTAATATGGATGAAATTTCAACACATTTTAGCGGCTTGGATAAGATGGAAAAGTTAATGGATGAAACGGACGTTTTGGCAGAGCATACTCACATTTCGCGGAACGGTCTTTCATATCAACGTAAAAATACCTGGCAACTTATTCACCACACTTTAATTATCCTTTTTTAAGGGAGGCAGAGGCTAAAAGCATACATGAGTCATAATGAGTTGCAGCAGATTTGTTATTTGGTTGATTCCCATGCTTCTACACTGCGGGATAAAGCCGCCATACGTTATCAGCGTACGCTGATAAAAGACGAACACCCGGAACCAGCAAGACTCAAATTTTTGAAGAATGTAATTGTCACTAAATGCCCACCAACAGAAATTGTTGATTGTGTGGGAGACATGTTGCGACAAGTGCAGGAACTACCCAAAGGTGAAGATCAGGTAATGTGCATTTTATAGGAATTCAATCTAAGAAATTTACAGAGTGGACAATAGTTCAATTGACTTCATCGAATATCACTGCTGCTGAAGTGAATAATAATGATCCATCAAAATATGTTATGAATCCCTTGTGCATTTCAGTTTTTAATTGTGGTCAAACAACTGTTGATCCATTTTTAATCACTGTGCCGGAACCTAGAGACCCTGTCAGAGGGAACATAGTGAATTTGGTTGAGCAGTTGATGTCAATTGTTGAAGAAAATAGGAAAATCCTAACAAGTACTATGGGGCTTAATCGTTTTTCCACTTACGAAAAAAAAATTGCTTATTATCAACAGAGAAAAAGTATTGAAAATGATTTAAAGGTTCGAGTCTGATCTTAAAACAATGAAATTCATGGAACTGGTTTTTTGTAGATGCTGATTAAAGATATGGAAATTTTATGGTTACAGCATTGGCGTTGCCTTCTAATTGGAAAATCGGTTGACATGATGGTGGACATTAATCTAAAACAAGAGATTGATGAATTTTTGAATAAAAAGTAAGTAAACAAATATTTTGTATTTTAACTTTTTCACTTTTTAATATTGATATTTGATTGTGAATTTTAAAGAATGAATCAGGTGCAATGGTCATCTAAATCTAAGGCCATATTTTATTATGCTACTAAGGCCTCACCCCATCTAACACTTTTGGACCTGAAAAACATAGTTGATTATTGTTGCGAGTCAGCAGTAGATAAACATTCAACTCAAGAGCTAATAAGGTTCTTTAAGCATTTAGGTAATAAGTACCATTTAGCAGACACCACCAATATCCAGCATCCTGTCATATTAGTTGTAGATGAGGTAATAATGATTTTTATTGGTTTTTCAAAAATGTTATTCCCCAACAAAGATTTTAGATATTTTTCCATGGGAAATGATGGATGTCATTCAAGATAACCCAGTGTGTCGGATGCCCTCACTTCACTTCATCTATTTTATTTACAAAACCTACGAGAGTGAAATCGAGGATGGACACAAGGTCGGTCATTATAACGAGGACTTTAGGTAGCAATTTTAAATATTTAAAAATTTAAACAAATTTTAAGCAACAAAAATTACATTTCTTCATTCAATTATTAAAAAAAAGTAAGAAATACAATTTATTAGGAGTATAAACACAAAATGGAGAAAATTTATAATTTGTGCTACTTAATTTAACATCGCATCTAGGTCACCACTAATGAGAAAATCTTACTGCTAAAGTAATTCCTAAATTTTTATGTAAATGAAATGAAATTGTTAAAGAAGAAATACATTTTTAAAAAATCTTGAAAATTAGTATAAGGAAAAGCATAGTCATTGAATAATTAACTTTGAGCATAAGGCCATCAAATAATACACAGGGTGTCAAATTTAAAAAAGCAAATAATGGAATCATCAAATTTTGAAATAAATGAAATTATTTATTGTTCCTAATTTTAAGATTCTTTAGTCGTTTCATAGTAGTTTCACTTTCATTTTATTAAAAAAAAAGTAATATTTTGGTAGAACTGTAATTTTGTTTTAACAATTTTAACTCCTCGACACTTTTCGAGATAAAATGGGGATTCGATAGTATCGCCTTTTCTTAGGAAATTGCAGCAAAATAGTTTAATTGGTTACTCCTGTGGACCATTCGAAGTACTTCATAATGTTTACATGTTACCTTGGAACGTTTGACCAGCATATTCTATCTGCATAAGCGACCATAAAACATTTTTCCTGACTCTGTTATCAGTTTTTGTGTGTGTGGCGTAAGAACAACATCTGACGATCAAAAGAGTCTCTTTGAATTGTAAAATCGTGAATAATATTAACTAAATTAATATGAAATAATAATATTTATAATAATAATATAATATTGAAAATAAGCAAGCTAATTGAAAATTTGAAGATTGATTCAAAGTGCTCAACAGATTTTCGCATAAAAATCAAACAATGTAAAATATTCTAATTTGTGTTTTTTTCGTGTTTTGAATGTTAAAAAACAAATAATCGCGTAACTTGTATTGTTTGTCTGTTGGCAATTTTCCCTCTATTATCTTTGGCAGATTGTGACACAATATAAGCGTGGTACCTTTGTTGTGAATCCTGATCGAGATTTGGAGAAAATGGAAATAAGAATCATGAATTTTTACAAATATTGGGTGCCTGATTGGAGGGGTACCTCTGATCGTCGACCCACTGGCGACGAGTTCTTGGAGCTAATTATGAATACCGACATTTTTGCGTAAGTAGTTAGTTAGTACCCCGTTGCGACTGCGTCAGTTACAAGCTACAATGAAAAATAGTCTGGCAAAAAATTTGTTAAAAGGGAAAAAGATAATTAGATTATTTAATAATAAAAAATCATAGGGGTCCTACAAAATTGAAAAATCTGGAAATATCAAAATAAACCTAAATTATGGAATTATGGAATTTAAAATGAATATTAAATATCATGGAATTTTGAAAATTTTGCCCAATTTCATGGAAAGTTGTTAAACTAGTATGGACAAAGTTAAAATGTATTTTATGTATTGATTAGATATTCATTATTGTAGTTATCAGGACAAATGTCTGATGTATTGTACTCAAAAGTTAACCGTTTCATATATATGTTCTACAAAGTTAGGTTAATTGAATCATTGTGGATAAATTCATAGTATAAAACACACTTAGGCTAAAGCCTAAAATCAGAAAGAAGTATACTTGGACAATGAATGAAAAAATGTTTGAACAATCACAAAATAATTTCATTAATTCTAGCGTCCACAAAAAAAAAGCATCAAATAAATAAATAAAATAAAAAAATAAATCCAAAAAACGCAATATTCCATTCATTCACGCAGATACCGATGAACCTTCTTTAAAACTTTGCTTCTAATTTAATATTGATAGCCTTCTGTCGGATTTTTCCTAAGGCAGTAACCTCAGATACATCTATGCCATGGTTGCCGCTCAGTCAATGACAGTATTCATAGAGTTCACAATTTTTTATGGCACTTCCATATCTTCATCGCTTTGGTCTATACCGGCAGCTGATGGAATGTCATCTTTTCAGTCTCACTCACAGGAGGTCTATATAAAAAGCTTGCTATTCACATAACCTTGCGTTTTGAAAAATTCGGCTGAATTTAATCTACCTATGCAAAATTGTTCAGCTCGACGACATTTAAACAGCTCTGTGCATGACAATTTGAGCACATCGTTGTGCAGGGCGAATCAACTTTCACACCGCTGCATCGTTTTTCGCGTCGCTTTTTATAGGATATGAACTAAAATTGAAGTCGGAGCTCGCGCTTGAATTGTAATCACTGGCAACAGAATTATATGATTTATTCTCCGGCCCCATTCAATTGTATGTCAGCGTTTTGTTTGTTAAATTAACTTATTATATCAGGCGGCCCACTGTGACTATGTGTGTGTAAAATTCAGTTTTTTTGGCAATTATCTTAGAATTCCCTATCTGGTGGCAAGGTAAGATCGCGTCACTCATAGCATTGGATAAGTCTTTTTCAAGTTATCGTTTCAGACATAGAGCAAAAAGTATTAGAAAAAAAGACTTGAATTTGTGTCAGCTCTAAAACAGTAAATGAAAATGAAGAACTTAAAAAATCTTAAAAGTTTCTTTTTATTGCCAGTGTTCTTAGGTGGATGTTAATTGCTCCTAATGTAGGGAGCGTTAATTGAAACAAATTTGAATTTGTTCAAGATACAATGGTCACGGCAACGGATCCCATATAATGTCTACAGAAAAAGTACAGCGCATGTTTGTCAACGCGGTAGTTTTGCTCTTTGGATGTGGCAGCAGCCAAATTTCCAGACTAGGTCCTCAAACGGAACCGTACGGGTCTTATCATATGTACTTAATAGCCCGATGGTAACGATAAAATCGAATTTTGGTTGGTGTAAGAATTATGCGTTCTAGTCCGTGTGTGGTCGGCATGCTGTGGGAAGTAACTGACCTGGATACTGACGTGCTGACGGCCGAATTTGTCAGTAGATGGATACCATCCACTGCCCCGGTGCACTGGAAATACGTGACGAACAAAAACGAATGGAAAAAGGCTCAAAAAAATGGTAATTTCTGATCTTATGACTCAGCGTTTTTTTTTGTTTGTTGTCAATATTTTTAGCCTCACAAAAAATAATTCGGCTAGGAAAATTAGAATTTAGATGGAGTTAACGTCATATAATATTGTTAGCAGGAATTTTACACCATTAATTTAATACACCGAAGTATAAAAAAAAAACTGATTAAGTTTATTTTGCGCAGTAATGCTACAAAGGTTTCCCGATTAATTTTTTGTAAGGACTTCGGTAATTCTTTAGGTCCGGATGTGCAAAAACTGATTAAGCAGTCTATTTTTGTCTGCTAACACAAGCGGTGCTCGATTAACATTTGATATAAGCTGCGGTGCCTTGTGTTTACAATTAAAATTACAGTTATTTTCCGGCAGTTGTTGGCCAAGTTTGTTCCAGAAAATGGCTAGTATTTCTGAATTTGTTGCTGAGAAACGGATTAGAAAAACTGCGTTTTCTAAAAATTAGAAAATTATTATTCTCAATGTATTCGGGACACTTCGTTAATAAAACTTAACATTCAAAGTGGCAAAAATAGTTGAAATATGATTGGAATGGGGCAGTCAACTTATGCACGTGCAGTTGAAAAGACTGTCGTCGTAAAAACATAAACGTAAACGTAAAAAAAGAATTAGTTACCTTGGAAAAAATAATGTACCAAATGAACAAGGTGATTTTATTCTTTATTCTATGGGTACGAAGTTGTGGGAAACTTTGAAGGAATTGAATTTTCGTTTCGACAAAAATCCAAACAGAAAAGATGGAGAAGGACGACAGTTGGACAGTTTCGAAAGGAAAACGGTAATATATTATTGAACGAAACTGGAATAAAATCATCCTTAGAATAACGTTAAAGATTAATAATTACTCTCATTGGTAGCAAAAATGTTTTTAGAGACTATTTACAGCAAATACTAGACCTTATTTTTCCTGGATTTGTTATAGTCAAGGATATTGCCAGCTACAATTCAAGAAAATCCGGAAAAAGACCCAGAAGAATGTGACATTATTCATTGGCTTACTTTAAGGAAATTTAGAAATATATGCTGAAAAATTAACTAGTGAATATTGTATATTTGAATTAACCTCTCTAAGCTCTAACCAGAGAACTGGTATGTCGATAACAATAGCGATAACAAGTTGGAAAGCACTGTGGAGCCAATATTATTTCTCCTTGGAAAATGATTCGAGGTGAACTGAAATACAGAAAACTAGCTTGCAATTTATTTTCCTGTTTCTTAACCTCTATAATATCTAGTAACATAGAGTTACGTTTGATGGTTACATTAATTGTCCTTATTATAGAAATCTTACTCCACATGTACAGTTTTCATATTTTTTTAGGTTGGTAAGAGTTTATGCGTTGTTGCGAGTTACGTCCTTCAATCTACTCTTGCATTTACCTTTTAAAAATCCATACCAGTATTAACCCAATTTCAGCAATTTTTTTGAGTTACGTTATTTAGTCTATGAGGTGTCAAAACAATGATCTGTTACCATTGTGTATTTGTATGTTACCAAAAGGACCTTTGCTGCGATAAGTTGAGAAGATTTTGTGTTTTTTTTTAATAATATTTTCGCCAGCAATGTTCAAAAATTATAGCAAGTGGTTGTTTTAGTTGATTTCCACAACGAGACTAAGGTAAACGGTGAAGGACTTCACAACCCCGAACTATTAAGGGCGCTCTGTCAATCCAAAAAGTGTTCGGACTATTTCATAACGAGAGCGGCTTGCGTGGTTAGAGGTATACCCATGAAAATCAAACAGGTGGCCAACTCTTCGCAGGAATAACGTTAATAGCAATATTTTATATGCATTTTGTGTTTGCTTGGGATTATATTACTTTATAATTTAGTGTTTTTTTTGAGGTAATTATACAGCTATATCTAGAATTTTTTCTTAGCGATGGTTGAGTGAAAAATGGATTTTTTAGTATATAATGTTTTAATATAAGTTGTAATATAATACGATTGTAATACTTGCAAAGTTCTGCATCTTAAATATGGTCAGAGGAGAAGGGAGATGCCTGTCTCTTTGAAATGCCTATCACAATGATTTAACTCAACATATTTGTAAGAAAAAAACTTCAAACCGCATATCGATACCTTCACCTTCAATCTGCGCATTTTGAAAATACTTATATTGACCGCTATCATATCAGTGGCTTTTTTGTTTAAAAAAAGGTATCTCAAAGAACAATGTTATGCAAATGGCAAAATGTCTCAAATAACAATTTGATGTTTCTTGGAAATCAGTTTGCATTGTGTTTCCACTACCTAATAAATCAATGAAAAAAAGTAGAAAAACATACGGCTAGATAGCCGTCCGAAGTTCGTCAGAAAAAGTGAAAAATTTAAATTTTATCTCGCTAATATTTCTAAATTTTTGCCTGCTATTTTAGGAGAAATATAATGATAACGGCTATAGTAAAGCTTGAGATAACCTTTGTTCAAATTTTCTATTTCAACAGAAATTAAAATTGAAATTTCGGAGAAGCATAAAAAAAACTATAAATGCAAAAGGACGGAACGTGGTTTTCCAAGAAGCCCTCGACCTGACTTGAAAGTCACGTCAAAATTTTTATTATTATTATATCTAAAATTATATCTTCCAATATCTTGCGGACCCTGAATAACAGACGAATGTCCTGGCACGAAAAGTGTAGCGGCTAAATCAAATTTTCACTTTTTTTGTTATTTGCGGATAATAACGTATCCAAAAAAAAATCAGCTTTTAGATTTTTCCCGGAAATACCTTATACATAATAAAAAAAATGCATGAAATAAAAGTTATAACGCCGGATCTTCAAGAATATCTCCGATGGGGTACAGCAATTTTAAAGTCAATCCAAAAGATTTTTTTTTAGATGTGCGAATTTTAATTCGATAGCTGCAAATTTTAGACAGTTATTACATTTCTTAAAATATCACAGAATATTCTGAACACTCACTCTTTTGCATACCTAATGAAATTTTATATAGAGCTTTTTGAAATATAGGCTTTAACTAGTGCTGAATCTTTTGGTAACTTAAAGCTGACATATTTGGCGGAGCGTGTGTAGCCGACTTAACAAGAATCTACTGGAACTTTACTGAACCTTTGGGTATTATTACTAAAAATAATAAATTGCAGTGGGTGAAATTTTATTTTTAGCTTTCCATATGTCGAGAAACGCCTCCTCACAGGCCCTAAAAGGAATGGATATTTATATTTCCTAAAAGATTTTTATTATTGCGGTGTGTGTATTGAGATGTGTGTCTATTATGCTCTGTTTTTTAATGTCAGGGAGTTATAAATCATTATTCGACTGTAAAACTTAGTAGTCATATTAGCCGTATTCTATTGGCATAGTATTGTATAATCTGTTCAAAGATATTGCTTTTGAATGGGATTAACCAAGGGTGGTCATTAACATACAATTCAACAAGATTATTACCTAAAGTTTCGGAATTTAAATTCAGGTGCAATTGTGGTTCGTAATAGAAAATAATTTTATACCTACCTGTGTTCAATATTCTTTGGTTTGGTGTACTACTTAGTTTAAGTTTATTAGTAATCATTCTTATTTCGTGTGTAAAACAGCGCGTGTTAAATCATGTGCGAATTATGCAGAATATGTGCGAGCCTAGTGTATCTCAGTAGATGCTCCCGCCCAAATGTAGAAAATACTATTCTATTGAGACTAAGGAAGATATAAACAATGTTTATTTGACTCTCATTGAACGTGGTGCCAGCAAGCAAGCGTCTTTAGAAGAGACGGCCACGTTGACGTAAATTCAAACATCAACTGTATGGAAAATTGTGAATAATCCCATTTCTCGAGTGTAGATGAAAGTGATCAAGATATAATACGGCGTAAAATTTACCAGTTATACGAGGAACAAAGCGTGCCTACATTAGATGTCTTAATTAGGATGCTTGAAAAAGATGAAACCGGTGTTAAATGTGGCAGAACTACCTTATGGAAGTGTATTCAACACGTGGGTTTTAGATTTTAAAAAATTGACAAAAGGCAAGTTCTAATGGAATCTTTTAGGATTAGGAAATTAGGATTTACATAGAACAACAAAGGCCAATTATTTACTTGGATGAAACCTGGTTCGACACTTATGATACCCCGGTGGAAAACTAACATTCCACTTAATAGCGTCATTGTAATGGACAATGAAAGTTATCACAGTAGACAGTTGACTAAAATCCCTTCCTCATGTGACACTAAAGCAAGAATCCAAAATTACATGTATAATAACGACTTTTATTTTCACGAAGATTATACCAAAAACAAATTAATTGAGGTTCTACAAAACTTGAACCTACAAAAGGAATACGTCTGTTTTAAGGCTTCCACCTTACCACTGTATATTTAATCCCATTGAACATGTATGGCACCAACTAAAGTCTCTCATTCGCCGTAACAATGTTTTTCGCCGTGTTAACTCCAATGTCCTCAAACTTATAGAACCCGAAGTTTTTAACATCCCTCCACAAAGTTGGGCAAATTCTGTTAAACACATAGAAAAAGCAGAACAATCGTATATCCATATTGCAAATAATTAGAACAGGCGATGAAAGCGATACTGATATATTATGTAAATAATTTTAAGTAATTTAAGTAGGTAATAAAAATAATTTGTAATTTTATTTTAGATGTAAACATAAATAAATAAATATTGTTTAGTATCTTTCCTAAGAAAACCCCAAATAATTAAATTCTAAGCAAAGTACGGACCTGTTCGGCCACATTTAATTCTTAGAACTTGCCCGGGTCTTGCCTTAATCCGTATCAGTTAGTCACTTTCTTATATCTATGATGTATTTTATTTATGACCCAAGCAGTTTTTAATATGAATACTTTGGAGGTTTTTACGCTCCATTTTTTGAGATAATATACAAGAGGCCTATAAAGCTGATATTTCATGCAATAACTTTTTGTTAGTGCCGCTACGTTAGTTTTTTTTGAAGATTATGGTAGATTGATTACTTCTCAGAAGTAAAGTTGTGCTATATTTCTTTAGATAGAATACACCATTTTCGAGGTATTTACATTGCGATATTTTTATTCAAGTAATCGCTGGTTCAAAAACACTTCTGTAAAAATAAGTAGACTCTAACATAACATGACATTCATCAAATTAAATAAAAATATTTTGCTGTTTACCACACACTCTCTGATTTAGATATCGATTTAAAAAAAAAACTCACTGGTCTCAAGGAATACACAACCAAACAAAATTTTTAATTTTTACACATGGTGGGGATGACAAAATCAATCAAAAATATAACTTTCCGTTCAGCAACAAAAAAAATCGAAATCTGCGAAAAATACATTTACTTGGGTATTTCATTTAACTCTTTAACATTTTTCAATAATATGGCTGAAAATACAATACTTAAGGTCGAACACAAGCAGCACGACTTGTCAAGGGTGTTATAATTAAATCTAACCAAGACCAAGACCAATTGGTCAGTGTTCTACACTCCAACTTCCCTAGTTGGAACCTCAGGAATTTAGACAATGTAGAACGCGTTCAAGAGAACTTTTTTAAAAACTTTTTTTGCTGCCCTTAAACGCCCGAAATAGTTTTGTTGGAATTTGGTATCTCGAAATTATCCTACACTGTTTTCAAACTGACGATTAACTGGTTGATTAAGATTCTATCCATGAAAAGACAAAGGTATTTTCAAATTTGTTTTAGTCGTCTGATCGTGGTTTTCAATAATTCTAGTAGTAGGTAAAACAGATGGAGGATCGTTTCCGTGGGGCAGAAATCAACGTACAATTTTCAACGTTTACAAGCGACTATCTAAAAAGAAACTAGAATATTTGTTATATATGTGATATATTTTGTCTATTACTTGGACCACATTTTTTATTATTTTAATTTAATTTAATTAATAAGACTATCGTGCAGGTATTTTTTGATCTGGTAGTTAAATTAACCTTTTTTCGCCAGTTCTTTTTCATCCAATATTGCTGTCTGTTTCTACTATCCCATTCACACAAAAACATGTTTACTTCGTATATCCTGACTGCTGACCTAGTAGAAGTTCCACAATTTTTAAGTCACCACAAATTATCGAACCATAGCCTTGTATTTGATTTTCTAAAAGCAGTAGTTCCAGATTTTCGTAGTTTATCTTTCATTGGCATAGAATGAACAACGGGTACAGAAGTTGTCTGTACCAAGTTTCTTTATTAGATCAGAAATATCGGTGCAATTAACAAGTGAATCACTTTGTTCAAAATAGCTTATAAATTCTGTCTCGCGCTTCCTGAAATATGAGATTTTAACGCTAGCATCGCAATCTTAAAAAGTATCGGAACGGTACCCATGAGGAAGTTATGGCAGGAAATAGCGAGTAGAATGTAATTAATCGCCTCTATATAATAAACTATGTGAAAAACTACAATGTAATCATATTCACTATCTCGAAAAACCACCGAATCTAAATTTTCATGTCGATATTTCAAAAACTTATCGAGTCGGAGACAAATTTCAAGAACCAATCAATAGCACTCTGTATCTCACTAATGAACGACATTATTTTTAGTGTCCTATTTTTTTCTCTATCTAAAATATTCGGTCGAAACCCCACTCGCAATAAAAATATCTCGAAACAAAAAATGCGTTTTTATCAATAAATTAATTAGAATACCTTGATACTGTAATTCCATATCAATTTAAAAAGTGAAATACGTTAAACCACCATTGCAGTTTATCTGAATTTTTTGCCATGATCTTTCATTACTAATTTTACTAATAAGCTAGATAAAGTCAGTCGTCGCCTACTATTATTGGTTCGGACCTACTTACACATTTCGTTTAAAAATAGGTAAGAAGCTTTTAAAACCCATAACGATCGGCTGTAATAAAATAAATAGCAACACAAATTGCTTTCATGCATTACATGTTTACATGGTGTATTGTGGAGTGCTTATTATTTCTAATCTTTTTGAAAATCTAA